CACGCTATACCGTTACTTCAACCACATTCGACATTCGTCTCCCAAACTGGTTTTATTCTGCCACACGATTCAAGTGGTTCAAAGGGGGTTCTTGTGGAAGTACCGATGTTTATCTCAGAGCCCCGTGTTTACCCGTGTTTATCGCATCAGGACTTTGCGAACTCTCCGTATTTCGGTCAGCATATTTGGTGAACAACTCGTGGTTTATTTCACTCACTCATTTCTCTTCTCTCTCATCTTCCCAATTGTGCTGCTCGCTGTTGAACTAATAAAAGACGAGAAATTTCAGGCCTGTCCCTTTACATTCACTTTTCCAAAACATACTACTACAAAAAAGAGGCTCTTATCAGGAAATTCGTAAAACTGGCGCTCAAGTAAACAGTGATATGATAGAAGTTGAAGAATGGCCGCCATACAATGAGGTCTTGCAGAGTTTGTTGAGAGAGCCAGTTGGTAGATATGCTTTCACCCAACCAACATACAGACAAAGTCAAATTGCAGAGAAGACTTGCAATCAGGTATAAGTGAGCCCTCAGAAAAGTCTTTTACTAACTGATAATGGAATCGCTTTGTGAATTATTCTCAGATTGAAACACAACGTAGCGAGAATTCAATAGCAAATCACACATGTCTGAGCCTGATAAATTTGTTCACCTCTGGTTTGTTCAGCCTTGTCAAGGTATATCAATTGTCATTTATTTACCCTAAGGAAACTGTACCCCTTTTCCGAAACCGTGAATTTTTTTTAGAATAAGATACATCTTGAAAGTTGTCTAGTTTCAAACACAGATCCGTAAGGTCCATTGAATGAGTGGGACCAACGTCTACGTAAAGAAGGAACAGCCCGTGAAAGGCACACCAGTGCGTGCCATTATGGCGAGTTGCAAGAGAAAAACAGAGAAAGCAGTACTTCAGAATAATCCTAAACAAGGGGTACGTACGAGTGGACAGTTCAACGGGTGGGTGGAAGAACTCCCGTTCTATGTGCGTGTAGGTTCTGGTGGGCCAACTTTTGTACGTGATAGACTTACGTACTATGCGCACCTGGACGACTAATTTAGATACACTACGATGGTGTAACTTGGCTCTTAATCCAACAGAAGTTGTGTGTGTGTGTGAAGTTTGGCAATCGTAATAGACATCGTAGGAGCGTGCAGTACGCCTAATTCGCATATGAAACTTGTACGCAATAGAAGTGCGAACAAGTGTTCCGTGGGACTCTGATGAGGCCGGTGGGGAAGCACGAACATAAAGAATAGACAAGAACAGAAAAATCCACAATGGAACCGGAACGTATACTTACAAATCCGTTCGTAAAAGCCATCTTCGTCACCATCCTCAGAACAGCATTTCCAGGAAGTTGATAAGTGTTACGCGTCCCATTGCTAGTCGGCAGCTCCCAGTTGGTTTCCACTTTCTGAAGAGCTGTGGGGTTAAAGAACCTTTTTTATACTAAAGATGGCTCAAGCAAAAATAGAAGTAATTTAACCTTGTGTACGTTGTATGTGACCATCGTTTACTTACATCCATCTGTTAGCTTCAAAGTGTCACCAGCAAAATGAACGAATTCTGGTATGGAGATTCTTTTCTCCTGGAGGACGACAGTTTTATTGGCTGAAACAAAGTAAATAAATTAGCATTTATTTCAGCTGACTACAATATCAGTCACGCATGCTATTCGTATCGCCTCTGACAAATCTTGGGCAGATGTGGCTGCTCCCAAATACCTAGATTTGAGACAAACGCTGTTCTGCCTTCGTAAGTAACAGAACCTTTCTTGTATTTGTCCCTTTGTGAGAGGTCTTCTGGTTTTCAAAACATTTTCGGATGATGAGACTTTGCAAAACCAGACAGGGAAACAAGCTTAACATCTACCTGGTGGCAACTTTCCTAAGTTTTCTCGTTATCTAAGCAACAACAAACAATGTATGCCAAGTATATCAGTTGAATACCTTTCCTAATCTATCCACATATCATCAACATAGATAAGAGCACTAGGGTTGCTTGATTGATTCCATACTGCTGAGCAGCTAAAAATTTCAGCTACTTGTTCCTAAAAAATGAGCGCAGAGAGAAAGGACTAGCTCACAGCAAGCATTCTGGGGTATCCCCGAACCCCAACAGTGCAATTTGGAGAGGATTCGATATCGCATTGCCCTAATCATAGGCCGGCCACTGTATCTTGCAATGTCCCTAGGGTAGCACAATGAGGGTCACGGAGACCAGAAGGTAAACCTCAAACACAAGTGCATAAACTTTCGGTTATTTCTATCACACTTTTCTGATACTTGGGCGTTATTCACCCCACAATCAACTCACATTTCGGGAGTCTAACAGCCAGCTCAATAATTCTGTTATTTGATGATTGGCTGGAAATAACCTCATCCTTCTCAGATGCTCTAACACTAGGCGTAGTCATATCGATTTCATATTGGCATAAAGGCTTAGTACTGTGATATAAGTTAGCGTTGTCAATGTATACTTGGTGTAGAATGATTGAATACAAACTTGTATAAATTTCAGCTTGGTTGTAGGTTTCTTTTGTGATACACATTGAGATTCTTGGGTTCTAAATTCCTAAATCTCCATGTACTTCCCACGAACCACAAGTTCTTCGTTGGAAAAATTAATCCGCATGGTGAGTGAAACTTCCTTTGGAGAAGTCGTCACTCGAGGAACCAGTCAACACGTGACCACGGGATGTGGCTTCATTCAATGACAAATAAATGATGCTATATCCAGATCAGGTGCGAGTTAGTCACTCGTGGCTGAGAGGCTGTGTTCACACTACTAGCCGGGACGTCCGGTGCTCGAAAATCCCTGCAGTTTCGTGGGATATGAACTGCCGACGATTCCCAATAAGGATGAAACAGCTGTACGGTGGTTCCTGGCTTCTCAGCATAGAGTGAACTGACTCCACTCCTAACGGTTCTATGCCCGTTCTTATTACAACCCAAGCAGACACCTTAGTTTTTTTTGATGTGGTTTCTATGGCATATTTGGTGTAGTCAGCAATATGTTGTCGTGCTAGTTTCGTGATAATTAATCATCATCTGGAAAGCTTCAAGGTACTCAATACCAATAAAGTTTCGTTGGTACGACTTTTAAAGATGAAAGTGAACCATTAGTCACCCAGCAACTTTAATCCACCTCTTGGTTGAGAAAAAGCAGATACGTCAGTCAGTTTTGGCCTATTGTTTTTGGTAAATTTTGATTCATCCCAGTATACTGTAATGCATACAAATGAGATATTTCAAATAAAAATGAGTAAACTTCCGAATGCCCTTTTCGTGACGTGTAATAGACCGACTTATGAATGACATCTGACTGCTTTAGGGGTCACATTGGAGTCACATTGGAAGGCTTGATGACCGTCTCATATTGCGCGTTGATGTACAATTGATTGCTTCATCATTTGAGCAAGAAACGTCAGGTCAAGGGACCTTCAGGATAGCATCAATGCATGAGAAGGGTGACCTCTAAGCATTCGGATAGACGAATTTGTATTTGAACGGAGTTATCACTTTTGCATAGTCATAACACCAAAACGGAACACTGAGTAACCAGCAGAAACTGAACTTGCTGGATGAAAATTGAGACCGAAGAATGCAGAAACCTCCAAAGTTTTTATGAACAACGACTATGAATTACGTATGCATACCTGTCTCCGAACTATACTTTGCAAATTTCGACAGGTTCGTTCTGTTAGCAGCTCTAATATTGGCACCAGTTTGGTAGAGTATTGGTAGAGCTGGACAGATGATAATGATGATGAAGATGACGATGATGAAACCACAGACTCAGAATGACAGCATATTTTCTCTGAGCGTGCAGTACAAGCTGGAGTCGATTATTTAGTAGTGTATTAAGAAAACCAGCCCATACTGTTGGCTGCTTTGCGCTGCGATTTGGTTTGAAGAGCGAATTTGGACTCCATGACCTAAGTTAGAGGCATATCAAACTCTAATATAAAGTCAGGCTTTTTGAAAGTTAATTTGCGGTCGGTCAGAATTGTCTAAAGTGGCCTTGAGTTTCCTATCAGTTTTACTAACGCACAATTTTCGTAATTTTTCTGGATTGACAGTACTGGCACTGACAGTTTGCTAAAAATACCCCATGTGGTTGCCTCAGCACTCAGTAGTGCCTTCATTGAATCGCCACTGTTTTAGCGATATTTTTCGATTTCCAGAGACCAATGAGCAATCCCTCTACTTCGTTGAAGTGTTATTTCACTCTGTAACAGGTATGAGGGTTGTTTCACTCTGTAACAAGCATACTGGGTCCTATTTTCAAGGTACAAGCTTCAAGCAAACCAAAGATGTCGTTCATCATAAAAAAAGCCCTGTTGATTGTTTTCATGCCAAACCGTGAACAACCGACGGAAAAGCACATCCAACAGCTACCTTCCTGTCTCCCTTTGGATGAAATGGTGTCAACAGCAATGAAGGAAGAACTGTCAGAATTCCTATTCTCAGTTTCTACGGAAATTTATTAGAACGGTGCCTTTAGTTGAAGCAGCGAAATTCCATTTTTGGATGTTTTCATCCACAGGAATACGCATTGCATTTTCTTGCTGAGAAAGACAGAAAGCCTACATTAAACGGGTGGTACATAAAATTCACCAACCCGTGTAGCAGAGTTATTTGACTTAAACTTTGTCCCATTGCAACTTCCCGGCCTAAACTGCAGGCACAATCGCTGTGGATAAGTGATTGCTGAAGTGTTTACGACGGCCAAACAACCAAAAAAAGTATCCCAGATCGACCGACAAGGATAAATTTGTGTTCACCGTATCAAGGAAGCGCATTTGCCTGAACAGCCCCTTCCTGGTGATGATAAGTTAAGTAAACTTCAGAGAATTGTGCAGGTGGCCGAGCCTATACGGCAACTCAGCGGAATGTTGGGCCAATGGATAGCAAGAATTATCTTTTAGTTAGATCAAGTATGAACGAATATGGTAATACGATTCATTAAACCAACAGTAAACATCTGGTGTGAACTTGCACATTTCTGCACTGCACAAATAGATTCGACAAAAGTCTTTTATGATGTCCCTCGTCTGGTCCGCAAGTTCATTTTTGCCGTCGTAATTTAAGTGTTCATTCTGAGAAGAAGATAATGCCAGAAAAACAGTGGATAGACAAACTGCATGCTATCAGAAGCGTTCATCTGTGACTCTAAATATTCGCAGTCCACAAGGATAGAAATTCATCATTTGGTGCGATCGCCCTACTGAACTCAGATAACATGCAATGTGCCGAAATATGTGCATGGTGTAGTGTGAGTCTTGTCTTGTGCTACCGTCAGGTTACTCAAAAACAGTCTGGTTGTTGGTGACTAACCGGGTTATCCCATCTAAAATGCTATGCGGATTCATGAAAAACGGGCATTTAGCTGCGTCATCAGCATCACCAGCACCGTCAAATTTGTTTTGCATTCAGACGAATAGGATGATTGGAACGGTGTATGGTCAACCACAGAATCACGTGAATTCACCAGCATCTCGAATTCGGTGGTGGATTCGTGCCCCTGAAGTCAGCAGCCATGCATTTCCAACCATAGTGTCGCCCGTCTAACCTCCGTCATTATTACGGTTCCTTTCACATGACAAAATTGAAGTCACTGCATCTTTGGACTGTGGTACAGTACTCTGTTGGATACCCACCCTAATGGAAAGTTTATCTGTGGAAACGGCTTTTTCGGGGCTGTCGCTTTGCCTCTCCGAGATCAATCACTCAATATTGATACTCTACTCAGTAGAGTGATATCGAGCTGTCAGTGCTTCCTCAATAAAATCCACGGTAAATGATACGAATAGATACGTCTATTGAATTAAGCTGACCAATGAGGCAAGCGATTTTGAGCTGATTCGTGTTGACCTCACTGACCATTATCAACCCATTAGATGTCAAGTTTCTATATGCGATACTTGTGTCATGTGCAACTATTCTTGTCCTGGATACTCTGGTCTGGTGAGGACGATATGGCCATCGGGCAAATAAGAAAACGGTTTCCTATTTAGTTACTACCACCAAGAAAGATAGAGCAATAAAGCGGCCAGGGACGACCAGGGTTATCCTGGATAGAGAGCATACTGGAAAGCATAGAATTCGGTCACTCGTCAAACGTTTGCATTAAATCCCGGTGAACAAAAATTACAAGGAGACCTGTATATAACTAATTCTCCCATCTGATTTGGCCAGTATTATTATTTATTCATGAACTGTTTAGCTTCGCCATCCTTTCAGTGCATAGCTGCCATAACACCAGAAGGAAGCTCGAGGGCCGAATAAATGTTAGTTTGTCCAAACCTAGACGGAATCAGTCGAGATGCTGACGTTGAGTTCGAACCACGTACCTTTCGGTCAGTAGATTCGAGTTCCAACCATTAATTACCTTGAGCTTATTCATAGGTCAGTTCACCATGACACTAGCACACCTTAAAAACCCGAGCATTTTGCTCCATTCGCACGCCGCGTTTTCGCACGAATGTGCTTAAGTATGCAAGTGCGCCTGGTGCATAGGTGATTGCTTGCGAAACAACGTGTATCGCTGTATCTTCGGGTTCGTGGTACTTGACAAGCAAGTGCTTGACTTCATGATTCCTATACCTCCAACACGATAGTATACACCAGTACAAGTAATTTAGTCAACCAGGGTAGCATGATTCATTTGATCCTCTTAGGAAGTGGGATAGATTGGTTAATACGGCTTCGACAGGCGAAATGCCGATATGGTGGTAGCAGACATGGGCAAGCATAAATGGCGAAACCTATACCGAACCAAATAATAGCCACCAACGGCTTTACCGTGCAGTCAGAATGCGACAGCAAACTGAGTGCTGTGTTTGTTGGCAATTTTCTTCCACAGCCAGCTGATGTGAGGAGTCCCGGTTACCCTAGCTAATGACTTCAGTTGTTCGTCCCACATCCAATCTGTTTTGCCATAGTCTGATGATCCTCTGTCTACGCTTTCAGAATCAAAACGTCAACCTTTCCTTTGACTCTTGTTCACAAAATTGTCGCTCCGTGTTATCTTCCACGCTACATTCGCCATCTCATTGTCTTATTCCATGGCCTTTGGGGTAATTCTTACAGCTTCATAGTTCGGTTACTGAAACAGATCTCTGCCTGTAATGAAATCTTTGTTTTTCTTAGTCGGTGTTATAATTGGCAGAAGCTTCGATGCCCTTAATATCTTCTTCCACAACATAATACAACAATACCCAAATCAATATAATACCTCTTTCCTACGACTCCACTAGCAGCTTTGTTATCTGCCTGCGTGCATGACTCACTCGCCAAAAACTCCCTTTTCTTGGTCGATAAAATTGCAGCAACGGAAGCCATTGTACTCTGGTGCAATGTTTGCTAGTGCATAATAGCTAAGAGATCAAAATACAGTCTTAAAATTGCTATCCCGCTATGAAACTTTACGTAAACGGGAACAGAAAACCAGTGCATCGTAGAGTAGAATGGATTTAAACGGCCTTCTATAATACAGAAAGCCGTTTGTTTCTACATGAACCGCTACATTATGTTCTCCAAAATCAGGGACCTGGATTTAACTTGGAGTTGAAACAATCTTTTGACAATTCGTCTATCTAAAGTGAGCGCTGCCGAATGGCCCTGTTGGCGATCGCCTGGAAGAGGGTTATTATAAGTGTACCTTCACAAATCACGTGATACTCCACAACATTTTGTTCACTTAGCAATGTAAGCTAACGTTTTCCGCTCCCAGATTTAATTTTTGAATAATGACACTCACGTGAAAATACCGGTAACCAGAGTTGTTTGAGTGCACATCGATCGTTCGTATCTGTTGCCAAGATGCCTCACGACAAACTGGATCCCATTCGTTTCCGTAGACATGACAGGCTGAAGTGGACAAGAAAACAGGCACAAAGAACTTATCAATGGAAGGTCCGTCTGGCCTAAACAAATTCAGACTGGTGATGCACATTCCAAATACGCACGTCGGTCATCCAGTCACTTTCGGAAAACTACGTTTTGCACTGGTATATAGGCCATACGGCACGGGGTGGTATGGGTTGATATTGACTCTACCAAAACACTGAGTGCACCAATTTCACTCAAAAAGGGTTTTAAAAGTCACCCAATGTATTTATAGTGTCAAAACTACTGGGTTATCTGGAAAACGAACATCATTTTGTAAATTCAAGTAAAAGATCATTCCGAACAGTTACCTGGGCTAAGGCTTTCGGGAGCAAAGGCTGCAAGCTCCAGTTCGATTTCCAAGCGGCTGTCTGTCGCACTCTGCAATCTCTCCTCCTCCGTTTGTATGTACAGCATATGCGTTTCTGTGAAGCTGACACGGGGTCGGGCTTTTTCCTCACTTGAGGATTCTCTACTCAGCAGGCACGTAAATACATTGTGCTGGAATAAAAACGGGGACAGGATAAACTTGAAAGTACACAAGTGAAATTAGAGCACAAAAGATACATCTACGTAACTGATGTGCAACAAGTTTATTTCCATGAGGAAAACTACTCAAAAGGTTGCTGAAAACTCTTCGACAGCCCAAGACCGTTTTCGCTCTTCTTGAAGCTGACCATGTAAGCGCAGTCCCGAGTTTCCGTCAACCTCATGTCCTACCTGATGAGCCCCAAAAAGGGCGAAACCGGTCGTGGGTTGTCGAAGAGTTTTCAACGACCTTGTGAGTAGTTTCCTTCATGAAAATATACTGCGATATCTCGAATATCGTGTCAACTGAAACATGAGGTGGCTTGTGTGCAACACATTCAGTTGTAGAATATCATAAACGAGAGACTTGGTTGAGTCTCTCTTGAAAGCCAACCTGATTTGCAAATTAGTGTATTTCTCAAGTTCATTTCCACTTTGATAGACTTTTTTCTGAGAGACTCAGCCTTCATGAGTTGGTTGCACACAGATCATCACAACAAAATATACCTTTGAAGAGAACACCATAGTCACTCTGAGAGGATCGATTGCTATCTCATGGGAAGGATGCCTTTGAGTCAAAAGTCATCGTCGTTTGACTTGCTTTGGAAAATCACCTCACTGTTAACTTTTACCAGGGTTGTTCATAGAAACCTTGTCCACCAGTCACTGATCGCATCAGCTTGAACCCGTTGCACATTGGGCGATCCAAGGACAGACGTGAACACATTCAACTTTTCAAACATGGCAGTTCCAGCGCGTCTCGCGTGCGCTGGTTGCATAGTGATACCAGGCTGGCCTGATATGTCACAAATTAGGGGATCGAATCCCACAAGGACAGGTTAATGCACAGCTAAAGGTATTCAGAAAGAGCTAACCTTAAGTCAGTGATTTCATTTTTCGGTGTGAACTAAGCAGAACAACTAAGCCAGGACAGAAACAATACGCCCTGAACGATAGTGATGTGAATATGAGCCGTAGAGATCCAAAAACTATCCACAACAGATCAACAGAAGCATTCAATACAGCAGTACCAGCGGTGGACACTGGTAACTAGCGACCAAACACTTTCGTTTATTTATTTTAGCCAAGTCTTCAACCAGAATGAGGCAAATAACGACTAAACGAACACGGATGATGACGTAAACTATGATTCTTCTGACAAGGAGTTCATTCACTTGTTGCCTCACCAGCCAAAAACATGAAGGTCTCGTCATTATAGGGATGAATGTCTGATTTTTTATTCTTTCGAAATAGCACCCAACTGTGGAAACTTACTGATTAGTAAACCAACTTGGTTTCGAAGGCAGAGTTAACTGACCATCAGCTGAGTCCCTTGTTTATGATATTTGCCAACTGATTGCGCCGTTCAACGTGACAGTTGGTATGGTATTTAAAACATCGCAGCATATATTCTTGACATAGCGTACTACTCTCAAGGTTTATGAAAACTATCCAAAAACTCACGACCCGTTTTGTTCCTATTAAGGTTCATAAGGTAGGCGCAGCCCTCCAATTTTCCGTCAAATTTGTGTTCCACTGCAAACCTAACTATACACACTTCTCGGAATACACTCAAATCCAGACGGTTCCATGAAGTTACGAAACACCAAAATAATGTAGTTTTAGAGACATCTCTGTGCGAACAGCTCAGCAGTATCGATCCATCATGCAGAAAGTCCGTCGAAATGGGAGTAGGACTTCTGACAAGTTCGGCGATTTCGGAGCTGTCCACTCAGCTACATGTACCACTGATGAGTAATATATGAGCGCACAAAAACGGCATTGCACTGGGTTTACAGAAATGGCCAGCGAAAAGCTCTGGTTGTGTCGCGGTTTTCACGTTGACCAAAGGTGAACATTTGGAACACCCTAAAATCGGTAGCTAGGGAAATTTAAGTTTCAGTCCTGCATTCAGTGATGACGTACTACTTTTCATATTTGGTAAGGTGGGAAGACTCGAAGGAAACAACCTGGACAACTAGAAACAGTTCAACTCGTTCCTACTCTAGGTGCGCTGGGCATATAAAACCGTGGCTGAACTTCTAAGCACATATCAAAGCTGACGACCACTCTGCGAGATTGTTAGTACTTGTTTTATTGATGGGAGGTTCAACACAGAATCACCGAGACCTGGTTTGGTTGTATGACAACTGAACAGCTGATCAAATTTGAGTGCTGATAGAGTGCGTATAGCAATAGGCTAATTCAAAAAGGAGTTTAAAGTGTACTGGCTATGATTTTCTACTGCTTTCACATCAACAGCCGACAGATCGCTCAACGAAGCCGACAAACGCAAGCATACCCGAATTATTTTACTGAGTCTGAGGGGCCTAGCAACGGCTTACCTCAGGATATTGCCAAAATATGTCTTCCGCTCGGCCAGAGTGAATAGTTTCACCGTGTAACGGCACAGAATGCTACGTAGGATCTATTAAGTGCTAAGTGCTAAGTTCAGCGTCCGATGAACAATGGCTTGCATTGTCTTTTTGCGCAACCACATGAATGGTGGAAGATAGCCTGACGCGGTCAATTAATAACTTGGCAGCGAAGTATAAAAGCCGTTCCCAGCAAACTCAGATGCGCTGGTCATTGCCGTCTTCCTGGATGGGGACCCCGAGACGGGCCATTTCAATGCTTGGAGACACTGTCGGAGATGGGCCAGTCGCACTCTCAATGGCGCTAGTGCATCCAAGTTATTGCCTTGAGTGCATAACTCTTTTCCCAATTCCACCACTTAACAGTCCACTTATCAACTCCCGCCTCCAATGTACAGCTACCTACCCCACATCCCCAAATTATGGGTGAACGAAACTATGGCAGTTATAACCACTCTACGACAAGTACGCGGTTCTTACAGCTGACAACGATGACGATCGTTTTGGCTAGCCTGGTACGTACCGCATTAGATTTCACAACCAGAAATCAGATGCATTTCTGAGAAAACCTGCGTGGACTTTACATGTAAGTTTGGTAAATACTGCTAACTGTTGATGCACACCAATTAATCGACAGTTCTGAGGAAAATTCGAAAGACCCACTTTGGCTGCTTGACTCATATTCTTCATTAATTAGCTGATTCTACCAGTCGAACCTTAGGAAATGCCCGATAGTGAGGAATTGGCCGGTTCTCATTGATTTATGAATGCATAACATCCCAACTAATGGATGTCACCGATTGTGTATCCTTTCCAACAGTGATTAACGACGATGTTTGATTGTCACTTCCTCCACCGACGCGATTAGCGCACACACTCAGGTTACAATGAATTTGACCAACAGGTACGCTCAGACGAATAGGTATGGTGAGACCGATTGATTTGTGAAGAGTCAGTCATTCCGTGTATGTGGCAAAATAAACCGATTAGTTCATCACTCTCAGCTACACAGCTATCATGCAACGCTATATCATCCGAGACCTTGTTTTTTTTCATTCACAAGCCAAAGCTTTTAACTTTCATCTTGAACATTTACAGATTCAGCGTGCACTACTAGACTAAGTAGGGTCAATGATCAAAAAAGCGGTTCATTCCTGGTTCATCTCTGAGTAGTCACTTATTATTCCGAATGCAAGTTTGGTATAATCCTGGTTTTTCTCTTCGGTAAAGTTTGTTGATGGTGATCAAAAGATCGCCTTAAAAACCCTAGCATTTTCATCTGTTGAATCAGCTAATAATTGGTCGTGCATTTTAGAAAGTAGACCTGATTGGCTCATCGTCTTGTATTTCGTAACGAACTGATGTGACCAGTACCCATGCTACTGATCCAATCTGTAGTTTGTTTACTGGTGTTCCAATGCGTTTGCTATGTGATCTCACCCGTAAGACATCGGAATTACAAACCGTTTATCAGTTCCGCGGTGTTTATCTTTACCGTCCAAGCGCTCGAAGACTTACTAGCAGTTACATCACTATGTACCAACAAGTTCCACCACCTCCTCTAAATCTGTTTGGTAACGAAAATTTAACAGCTTCAGGTCTATCATAACAAACGATACAAAAGCTGTTCACTAGCAGTCAAGTTTCCTGACAGGCTAATCGCACAGTCTAAGGCAAGATAGAACACTGGCTCTCCTCTGTCTTTATCGATAGCTTACATATTACGTTGAACATCAGGCAGTGACATTCCCACAAGCAGGTATATAAAAAGGGAAACTTCAAGTTTGTGAAAAAAAAGTCAGACAGAAATGGGAGCGAACGTACGGTTGCCTGCATTCCGAGAAACGGTGATAGTAGCAAAGCGCCAGATGATGGATCCGTTTTGTAGCCAAAAGCCGACGCCAAACTTATAAGAGGACAGACAGCGGAAGCAGAAGAAAATTAATATGAATGAACGAGCAGTGTGAAGAGTGATCGTCTTGACGAAATATCTTGCTACAGTAGAACATGTCTCGTGTGGAAATTTTTGAGTCCATCTTTCAGCTAATTAGTTCTGGCCTTATCACAGACAGTAGTCTGTTCATAAGGAGATGCCTCACTGTCTTGGAAACACACCTTCACCTAACGGTTTCGAAAATTTGAATCTCTACTCTGGCTGTATTCGGAACTTGCGTCTTTCCCAAGGTTTTGGGATTATTTGCATCCAGAACGGACAGGAATGTCTCGGAGAGCTATGGAATTGGTATGCATAAGTATACAAATAGGTCCCATGCATCGTATTCGTGATCAACGAATCAGTTGCCAATATGCTTTCAGAAGAACACCACAGCGTGGTATAGCCCAGTTTTCCAGTGAGAACATTTGGTAGACCTTGATCCGTACCCATTAGCCTTCAACAAAAGCATTCGAGCACGGATTACTGCGCTCCGAGATCGAGCGAATCGAATGGTTTGACAGCATTTTTTGGCGGAAAATTCCATTTTGCCCAGTAATGCTAAAGCTCAGTAGACACTAGCCTGTTCCATAGTGAATCGGCAACTTATATTTTAAGTTGGCACAACAACGAGAAACTGTGAGAACATTTTTAGCAGGCGAAAATGAGCTAAATAGTCTGGGTTGGGAGTACCGATTGAGATCACTGTGGTGACCTAACTACTGTGATTTCAAGTAACATTTTCTTTTTGCGAGTTGGATTCGAGGTAGACCGATAGTAAAGTCTGTTGAAACCCCGGTTTCAATTTGTCATCCAACTTCATGAGTTTATAAGTAGTTTAGCTGCGTGCCCTCCTTTGGAGAACAATGTAAACCAATTGTATTGCATAATGTTCAACCCCAGCATAACGCATAACGCCATATGTTCTGAGATAAGGTAGCATTAACTCTTCGACAGCCCACGACCGGTTTCGCCCTTTTTGATGCTCATCAGGTAGGCGCAGTCCCCGACTTTCCATCAATCTTTCCGTCTACTTGAATCCAAATTGGATTTGAGAAATACACTCATTTGCAAATCGATTTGGTGTGCAGCACTTTCAGTTCTAGAATAGCATAAACGAGAGATTCAGTTGAGTCTCTCGTGAAAACCAAATTGATTTGCAAACGAGTACGCATGAATTTATAAACTTGGTAAAAGTCAATAAAATCAGTGAAAAAAACACATTGATTGTGACAGTACCCTCGGTTGAAACCACCTTTCCGTCAAAATCATTAATGGAGAGCTGCTCTACGTGTTGACCAACGCTGTCATAAATCTTCTGCCAGAATACTGATTACATTGTTCGTCTTCGACGCGTGTTATATTATTTGCTACGTAAAAAAGAGGTCTTGCTTGTTGGGAAAGTTCACAAACAGCTTTTTAGAACTCCAGGCAATTAACTGCGTGTGCGTGCTTGTGTGCTTCAAAGCAATACTTCGTGTTTGAAGGAGGGAAAATGCGCATCCATCCACATCCTTAAAAAGATAATGTCATTTTGGGGTTGAAATATCATTTTCTTCACTTGTGCTTTTCAAGAAAATGTTGATAGGTGAAATGTAGATTAGTGGTGATTCCTCTGTCTGGTTGTGTATTTCAAACGGCTTACGGTCCTACATGGTGACTTCCGTCGCTGTGAGCCTCTTATTCTTCTCCCCTATCAGTCAGTAGCAAACCAAACCACCTAGACCGTTCGGATCACCTTTATTACAGTCGTTCTTGATTCCGCAGTAAGGTAAGAGGTTCACCTTGGCTAGTCATTTGAGCCGGATAGATCCCGAGTAGCGAAACTTCGGACCGGAGTTTGAATCCAGTTTCCATCGCTCGGTTTCCCCTCAGAGATAGGCCCACTGATTCCAGTTGGGTCACAGTATTCATGGCACTCTCATCTGCTGTTCGAATAATCATGGTAACTCACAGCGCCTGACGCGAAGAATGATGTTCTAAAACGATACTTAGTCGGTTGTGTTAGTGACAGTGTCATAGCACGATAAGTTGACCGATTAAACTAGAAGTAATTCAAAGCTCCGACTTTCAACTGGGATGGCGAGCATAAAGTTTCCGAGTGTACAGTTACGACTATTTCCTGATAACTGAAACCGAAAATGTTTGTTCCTCTTCACATAGACAGGGTGGCCAAGAAGTTTGACTGAATTGGAAGACAAAGCAGATCAGATTAGGTTGTCAGGGCATATTCTGAAGTGTTAGCTTAACGTCGTGCTTTATCCATAGATCAGCTGTTGAACTGCATATGTTGCTTACGAGAGACTCAGAGATTTTTCTATATGACCAGAAAATTGTTACACACTGTCTGAACACAGATTGTACTACCCATGGTTTTCTTTGTATAAAAAAAATTATTCGGATGTAACATCCTTTCAGTGCCTGGCTGCCATGCCACCCGAAGGAAGCAAGGTTGACCAAGCCTAAACAGGGGAAATCAAGAGGCGGAGATCAGATTCGAACCACGGACCTTCTGATCCATAAATTCGTGCTCTAACCACTAAGCCATCTCGCTTTACGAGTCGCTTTTAATTCGGCCGATGGATTAGCACAATTTATACATAAATGCTGACTGGCTCATGGGTAAATTAGCCCATCGGAATGTCGATCTTAATGCATCCCTGGATGAATTCCTGATTATCTTGCAAATCGATTGACAGAATTTCGGACTCTCTCGTCATGTAACATAGCGATTTAGAGGTTAAAATTAACCCACAAACTAGGGCAAAAATTTTAACGCCCTACGTCAAACGTAAGCAGACAAAACTAGGAAAAACCGGTGGGTCTATTACGATTGAGCACATTGAATCAACGTACGACAAGGTCAGGACTGACTCAGAACGGACGCATTAGGGGAACATGCGTACAGTCATCACACACTTGTTTTAACAGTTCAGCTAGTCTTTATTAGACGCCTTACACCAAGGCACGGAGATGCCGAAGCTACTCACTCTGGAGCGCCTTGTCCCGTACCAAACTTATGCCAAAAATTAAGTTCATTTGTCAGCTGTGGCAGATAACCATGCTTGCGTTTGGACTGAATGTTAGTACCAACGACAGGGTCGTCTTTCAAAAGGGTTCACCTTTCGCAACATCCGAAAACGAAGACTGTGGCTTTCCTTAGGACTGGCGTTCAGAACGGTAGTTTATGCAAATAAACAGCTTGCTAACTTTAGGATAACCTCACTATGATTGACTAAGCTTAGTATATCTGGAATTGTGAACTCATCATGGAAAACTACCTCAAAGAGAGCGTGTTCCCTTGTCCAATTAGCCAAGTTCTTTTATGTCCTCGAGACGTAGTCTCGAAAAATCCGATCGTTTTCGGTTCGGCCGGAGCCCAACAAGGCAAACTGATTGGCCTGTTTGTTTCCTCTATCCACAGCATATGGATGTGTACGACCGGAGAGATCTCATTGATGTGCCAAGAAATGTCCACTAGTCCATGTCCATACGAACGGATAAACTGCTCCAAACTAAGTGGAACCGCCTCGAACATGGTAAATTCATTCTCTGAGTATGCGACGATTTTCTCAGCCTCTTTGCCTTTTTTAGCTGGATGAGGTACGACTTTTGCGACGGGACGTATGAAACCTGTTTTTGAATCCAATCGATACGCACTGTAGATTCGACCTTTTGGCGGACGAAAACCATGCATTCGTTTTGTAGTCTGGAGGTTTGAACTCGTGAAAGCAACGCAGCACAAGATCCCACACCAGAGGAATACGTAACGATGTTGGGATAATTGAGCCATTGCTAAACACCCAAACTGGGTGGGGAAGAAAGGTAAAAATTTGAAATGAACTGCCGCAATGTAACGAGTCTCATGCAAATTAATCATCATCATCATCGTCATCCTCCTCCTCCTCATCATCATCATCATCGACAGCATGACATCAGTGTGCAACACCGATGCTTCACCGCCGTACAACCATGATTGTAAAGAAAAAAGTAAAGATGGCAGCCATGACTTATTTGAAAGCCTTATAGTAAAGAAAAGAATAAAGGTGGACGGGGGAGGGACTTAGTGCTAGCTTAACACAGACATTCACTTAGGCAATCTGGATAGAAACTGACAACGGGAACGCCACTGACATCGGTTGGCAGCCATATCTTGTAGTGTTTCCAACCAGGCACAGTGAGGATCACGTGGTCCCCATCCTGGAAGGCGAGTAGCACCGACAACACCCAAGCGTTTCGTGATTTCCTCCACACTCATCTGCCAAGTCAAGGGTTGGCCACCTCTCTGTTTACGCCGCTCCGAATTGGGCATGCAAAACAGCACTCTCTTCGACCTCTTCCGTCAACATAATGACTTCAGCGCTATGTAATGAGATATGGGGTTGAACTTTGAAACACTTTCCACGGAGCTATTCTGATAATCATCTTGGGGCTGTAAAACACACTCCAGTCTTGATGAATCGCTCAAGGGTAACCAGGCTGAGAGCTACCCAGTGACACACGGATGAATGATTCGTGGTTAGTTTGGGCCTCGGTTTTGAAAGAAGCCCGAGAAAACTGATCATATTCTATCATACACCATACTTCACACCAGTCTAATCAGACTAGCATTTCTGAATTTTTAAACTGATTGTTGATTTGCCACTCAGCCAGCTTCAACCTGTCCTAACTCGGACCAGAATTACTACTTAGGTCGTAGGCGAATCGAAACAGAGGACAGCGGAACAAAATTCTCTTCGTGAAGAAAACTACTCACAAGGTTGCTGAAAACTCTTCGACAGCCCACGACCAGTTTTGCCCTTCCTGGGGCTCATCAGGTAGGCGCAGTCCCCGGCCTCCCTTCAACCTTATGTTCTGCTTGAATCTTAATTGGAGCTCACCGGGTAGGCAAAGTCCCGGAGCTTCAGTCAACCTTATGATCTACTTGAACCCCAATTGGACTCTTTTCATGAAATATACTCACTTGCAAATCAATTTGGTTTTCACGAGAGACTCAACTGAATCTTTCCTTTATGATATTCTACAAGTGAATGTGCTGCACACTGGCCGCCTCATGTTTCAGTTGGCACGATATTCGAGATTTCGCACTATATTTTCATAAAGGAAACTACTCACAAGTTGCAGAATAGCATAAACGGGAGATTCAGTTGAGTCTTGTGAAAACCAAATTGATTTGCAAATGAGTGCATTTCTCGAAAACTCTCTTCGCTTGCGTCCTGTGGACAGATTTTAACCGCGTGACTCATTCATACTTGTCCATTCCAGGATTGCTCTTCATCCATGAGTGAATGCTTCCACAAAGTTAACACTGTAATTCGTAGCACTTACTAAATTTATCGCCTCGGGCAAGCAATTAGCCAAAAAATACGCAAAACATGGTCCTGGTCAACCGATCAATTTATCAGCTACAAACCGTCTACCATAGGCACGTTGGTTCCGCACAGAAGTGAATTCGCTCTGAGAAGCTTGTCGTTCGTCTCTCAAGTTTCAACTCAAGAACAAGTGTTATTTTCGCATCAGCTAACTGTTCTTGGTCCCGACGCTTGTCTCAAGTTAACAAGAACTCCTCTGTGTTTTCGTTAACCCTCGCATACAGTGGACTGTGGATGAAACATGTTAGCCAGTGCCTGATATTCGATGATGTGGCCAACCAGTTCAGTAATTGAAAAGTCGAGTTGTTTGGAAGGTGTCCATTATCTTGACGGGCTTACTGAACGGTGTGTTGTAGGTTTATTTTGCACAACATGAGTATAACTATTGCTGTTTAGCTTAGGAATCTCAGAAGTTCCAGAATTGCATTTAAGTTGGTATTAACCACCTAATTTATCGAGTCATCGGTTGTTATCGGCTCTTTACGCCGGCGACGCACAGATCGTAAATCGGCAACAAATGGGCAACTACATCTGCGAAGAGTAATGCCTGGTTGGGAAAGATCGAAATTGCCAAATATAGATGGACTTTACTTGAGCTTGAAAGGGCATTTTGACTCCAGATCATTGAAAATGCCGCATTGAACAGAAGTGCCTAGGGACAGGTCGTGGTGTGATGTATTTAGAGAATCAGCGGGCCGCGCAGCTCATCTCGGCTTAATGACTAAATCACGCTTTACCTGACAGACTGAATTCGTTTGGTTTCCTGAGTATCCGTTCATCGCCTTGTCACATGCCTTTACTCAGTGCTTGAAATCACATCTCCATCGAATACAAGTCCAGTGAACTTCATTGTCTGCCTTCTCTCCAATCTGGTGCGTTTTTCCAAACGGGCACAAGAAACACGACTGCGCTGTAGGTTGTAACAGCGGATCTCGATATCCAGAAACAAATGGTCCATTCGTAAGCTACTCGCAACCAGCATGACAACAACAGAACTAGTAAGCTTAGGGCGCTATCGAGCCTGTGAACGCATCTGCATGAGTAAAGTCGGACTCGTGGAACACCAGCTCTTCCATGCATTATCAATTCCGAAGCGCCGACACATAATCTGATGTAGGTTCTTCCCAGATGAAACCATACCGCTTATGTAACTATTGTGCCTGTTTACCAACGGCTACTGGAGTGGTTCGTGCTGTACAACTCCCAGCGAATATGATTTTGTGATATTGTGCCTGGAATGCACAGTATTGCACTGCAAAATAAAGTGATTGACAGGTGGCATCATCATCGTCATCGTCGACAGAATACCATCAACCCTAATGCTTCGCTGCCGTACAACCAGGATTCACCTAACTCACGGATGTGCTGCCAGGGCGCCCACACCCAGATAGGAGGACGATTTGGACCCTTACCCAAAGCGCTCCGCTCAAAAACCTGACTGCAAGGAAGCAGTGCTTGGTGGGATATGCAATTGCGTTGCCATTTTCACAGGAATAATCGCCATATATGTTCCAACCCCCCTGTTGAGAGGGTCAGGAAACTATTTTGGTCAGACTTCTAACCACTGACCAACCTAATAGGTGAAACCCTGCGAGTGTTCCTCCGTGCGACAGTATAGCTCATTGGGTTGTGGAGGTACGGAAACCGTCACACCGCGGTAAGGTGTAGTCTCTTCCTGCACAAGTAAGTAGATTTAAAAATAGACAGCCTGTCCAATAACTGTGCTGTAGATAGAGTATCGCACAGCGAGACCTGTATTTTCTCAATAAATTTGCATCCCATAACACCTTGTGCCGATTTAGTCCCGTCTACTCATAAGTAATATCGATGGGTAATACCTCAACGCATATTCACATAATAAATTGGTTATAGTCCCGTCTACTCATAAGTAATATCGATTGCACCCCAACGCATTTTCACATAATAAATTGGTTAGCCGTGACACGCTTTCGGCACATGGTTGCCGTGCAACCCGAAGGAGGCACGAGGACTGAGATAATGACAGGAAACGAAAACCTAGAGAGAATCATCAGAATAGCCACGGATAAGCTGTCAAATTGGTATTTCTGGTCTGAAATCAATGGCTTATTCTGGGGTCACCTGGTACTCCTCCTAATACCATCATATTTTGACGGCCTGATGGCTACCTACAGGCATCTACGAGTTTCTTCGTTGGTCTTCTTCCTCCAGGTTCAGAGTGGACTCGCAGGCAAACCACTGCATTCATCCGGCTCCTCGCGAACCGTTTGTACATGGGTGACCTGCAGACCAAACCGTACAGACTACGATGTTGAAGATTATCCAACTGAGTAAGGCAGCTTGCGTTCACGAAGTAAGACTTATGCTGATAGCCTGGTCCGTCTACTTCCTAAGCTAGGTAAACCAGTTTAAGCCTTTTCCCGACTCTCGCTCCGTACTGGCCACCTTTCCATCTCTTCCAGTCATACATAACTCAAACTCTATGTCGACAGTTCCAGTGACCTCGGCTCACGCCATCATATAGGCCAGGGGAGTACTGACTCACCAAGAATTATCAAAGGATGAGCCATCTTTCCAGTTGACCCGGGAACTGACCTGAGATCCGGCCTTCTATGCGTGCCCGCTTAATTGTTCAAGTGTGAGTGCACACGTGACAATATCCACCTGGAAGAGTTAGTCCATCCGGGTCTCCTTCTTGCTTTAAAGCACCCTGTATTGCTGTAATAAATGCCAGTTGGGTTGTGGGAGCCAAATAAACAATGTACACCCCGTCATCAGGAGGAATAATTGAAATTTACTTGGTGCATTCCTAGGAACGTAGTTCACTTGATCTCTCACCCGAAAACGTCCGTCTTTCTAGACTGTCTTCACCCACCAAGCAGATATTCGCATACTGCAGGTTGATGTCTGCGCATGTCTGGTTCTCTTTGATGAAACGCGACCTATCATATGACCATTTGATGAAGTAACCCTTTTGACAACTCCGCGATGTTAGCACCGCACGACTGGATTATCCAACAACTAGTTCGCGTTTTTTCCAAAGTGAGCTACCAAACTTCTCCTGAATAGTATTCAAATATTTTCTGAGAAATACTCGTTTTACTTACAGAAGTACTCATACCCTATGGCCGGCAGACGGCCAAACTCAGATATGTAGATATCGGAAAGATAGAGGAAATTGCAAGTTCAAAAATGATCAGTAGTATACGACACTTCAACCTTGTTATTGGAGTCCACTTTATGGGTGTGTGTGTGACCTATAAAAATGGATCTTTTGGTGACATCTTACACTCCAAGATAACTTAACAAGGACTTGGTGTTTTACGCGGACGCTGATGAAACGTCAAAAAGTAGATTCAACAAGTGACTGTTGGCCACTCTTACTGTGAAATCACAGGAGCTTTTCTAGCTCTGTAACGGAGCGAAATACCACCAAAACGCTAGTCAAAAGTCTCCTGAATCAAGTTGGTGAGTATGTACTCAACTTATCTCAACTTTCTTACACTACAGCTTGATAATCCGTCCGAAGCAGTGATTTTGCTCCATTGCGGCTGCGTTGTCGGTTGCTTTCAGATTCAGA